AATCATGATGCATCATCTATCTTACTACTTACTGACAAAATCAATCTGCCTTACCTATGTGGATAGGCCACCTTACTTAACCATCAATAGGAGCATGTAAATTATGTATGTTCAACAAATCGTGTGGAAGGTATTATGAATGATTCACATTGGCTCATCCTACCAGAACGTCCTCCTTCTTTCTCATGTCCAATGAATCTGGAAAGCCAAGTAAACATTACCATCTTCTCCCAGTTGGGATATTTATAATATCTCTCTCTTTATTCTCTGACATCTAATAAGAGGCATGCTCACATTGCAGTCCTCTGCTATTTAATTAAAGACAATCAGTAGGGAGACACAAATCTACAGAAAAACAGTCTTTATTAACTTTCCTGCCCTCGGAGTTATTTGTTTGCTTTCTGCCATATCCACAGACAGTGATGTCTGAAAGACATATGAGTTATATGGATTTAATGCTGAAGACAGGAAAAGGAAAGATACCAGGGCACTCAGGTGCTGGCACTGGGTTGGAGTGATCACAGAGCACAGAGTTTTTATGTATATTATGGGCCCAAAATTTGTCTGACCCAATTGTACATTACACCATTAGTGATGGCCCAGTCTTTCTGGGAGAAGAAATATGCAGATCCCTCTCCCTTCCTCTCAGATAATTTCCTCAGCATGGCAGTGGAGCTGTATTGTAGTTATGACTCCAATTTCAGACACTAATAAATTACAAAGCAGAACTTTCCATGTTCTGCTGCCATAAAAGGGTACCAGACAGAGGTGAGAAATCCAGATCTGGGAAAACTTAAATTCACCTTCCAGATCCACTGGAGTAGCAGATAGGATTCAGAAGCTGACTTAAAGTACATTTCGCTGCAGCCAGTCCTGACTTTCTGAAAGAACACAACATATTTATTGAAAAGTTACAGTTAATTAAGAAACAAATTTTAGCTATGTACTGATACTGGTTGTACTGATAGTTTCATATAACTAACAACAGCTCTCTGAAGGACACCCAGACTGTCCTGATGGCAGGGCTGTAGGGGGACTCAGCCATAATGGTGGACAGTGCTGTCTCCAGCTGCTTGCCTCCAGCCTTTAGCCAGAGTTATCCCCATGAAGAGATACACAAGTGCCTTTTAACCCATTTAAGACAAATTAGTTGTAAAGCTTACGCACCTTGTTTCTCACAACTTGATTCCTTTGGTTGCAATGATGCAAATGAAGAAATGCTTATATAGAAGACAGAAACTCTTTGCAAGGTGTAGTGATAGGTAGATGAGGACTGGCTAATGATCAGTGACTTCTACTAATACAGCTATTTATAGAGTTCCTATCTTTGTCACTCCAACTATCATCCCTGCAAGGTTTTGTTTTTGGTGTTTGTTTGGTTGGGGTTTTTTTGGTTTTTTTTGGGGTTTTTTTTTCACATTTTACCTGGCCATTTTTTCGGAACCAAATTCACAGCCAAGCACCAGATGCTGTGATATGATCCTTCCCAGATGTAAAATCTCCAGAGGTTCCATGTCTACAAAAGAAAAGCTACCCAAGAATATCCTATTTCATTTAATACTAGTCTTGGAAATCTTTCATCTGGTCATTCCAGTATAAAGTGTAACCAGACAGTGCACATGTGCAGTTTCACTAGAAAGTGAACAGATATTTACAACCCAGGGAACAGAGGAGGCCAGAAGCCCTAGCAAAAACAAACACACAGACTAGAAGTCATAAGTTTGGTGCTTCAGAACAATAGTCTGAGATTATTCTGTCATTTAATGTTGCTGCCTAGGATTTAATTTTCCTGGTTAACACAAGTTTATTTTTAAAATGCACTGGAGCAAGCTCATAGTTATACAGCCAGATCTATCCTGGCTGACATTACAAGGAAAGGAAGACAGACGTGATGACACAGGAATCTTTCTGATCATAGCTTCCTCTGCTTTATACCTGCTACCACCAAGCACTTGCCAAAAACCTTTTTTGTGTATGTATTATGCAGGATTAGCTATTTTCTCCCAGTACTCCCATGACAACTCATCTGCTTTTGAAAGCAGAAAACCTCTCCACAACCTTTTCCCCTACTTTGATCTAGGACACAGAATAATAGTATTTAAGATTTAGTGGGAATTTTCCACCATCTGCAATAGGTGATAACCTCTCAAGTGCAATGCATGAACCAAAGTCAGAAAATTAAGTGTCCATGTCATCGAAGGAATGTGGGAAAAGGAAAAGGAAGGGAAAGCAATACAGACTTGTGTGTTTTATGACTACCTAGAGTAAAACAAATCACGTAAATATTGCTTCTTTTCCCAGTTTGATGTAGAAACTTGTAAAGCTCTGATTTCTGTAAACTGTATGGACTTTCAGAGAAGCACAGTATATTGAGTTGGAAGGGACCCATAAGGATAATTTCAATGACTTTTAGGCTCTGGGAAGTTCTGCAAATTTAACCAGGTTCTTGCTTTGCTTTCTCTGGTGTTAAATACTTCACTTATTCATATTGTGTGAGATCCCCGGCCTTGCTCTGGGGTCTCATGTGGTGGTGAAATACCTCTTCCAACCCGTGCTTCCAAAGAAAAACTCCGCAGGCTTTAGCTGTTCGGTCTCAAGGCAGTTTATTGCTAGTTATCTAACAGATTATGTTCTTGGACTGCGGCTATTTGATCAGCGGCCCAAGCAGAGACACACACACCCTGACACCCTCACTGTCTGCTGTCTTCTTTGTCTCTCCCCCCGCCCAGGGCTGCTGCTATCTTTTATAAGATATATTACATATAACATGTTTACAATTATTCCCCAATACCTACTACCTATGTTGCCAAGTGTTTTTCTACTCTAAACCAATCTGTGAGTGCCAACATCACCAAGAACATGGAGGTAAGGAAAAAGAAGGAGGAAGAACAGGATCAGCCCACTTTCCTCCATCTTAGAACTTCTGACCCCCATGTACAAAGTGAAAACCCCCCTGTACATGTGTTAAAAACCCCCTGTACAATACTAAAAAAAATTCCCCTCTACTTTGTAATTACTTTTACTATACTATCTAACCTTTTGTGACTGCTTGTTCCACCTCCAAAGTTGGTAATTCATTCCATGGCTCAAACTCAAAATCACAGCTGTTTTTCAGCTGTCTGCCAGGGTCTAGAATGCTTCTGACCAAGGCCTGGAATCTCTGAAAATGTCTGAAAGACATTTTGAGTTCCCACAATATTGGAATAAAATAATGATGTCCAAGATTGGAGAAGGAATACCTTCCTGGGTTCAATGACTGATTTCTGTTTCTCAGCGATGATTCACATTAACAAAACTAAGGGATCAGGGAAGCTGGAAATAAGAGCAATAATAGATACTTTAGCATTTTTTACTTAATTGCTGAGTGTATAATTTGGGTAACTTGCACGATTACGTGGCTCTGGTGTGCTCAGCCACCACTCACACCTTCTGCATCAGATCTCTGTGTCAAACGGGCTGGAGACAACACTGAGTCAGAAGATCATGCCTCAGCAGAACTGCCTCTGGAGGCTTCCTGAAGGCAGGGCACGCATTCGTAAAAAAACTGGCCTCTTTTTGAAAACCCTGGGAAACGCAGATCTTGCTCATTCCTGTTCTGGGCTGTGTCCAGTTCTGGGCCCCTCATTACAAGACAAGGAGCTACTGTAGAGGGTCCGGCAGAGGCCACAAAGACTGGGCATCTCTCTTATGAGCAAGACTGGGAGCTGGGCCTGTTTAGTCTGAAAACTGAGAGGGGATCCCATCAATACATATGAGTATCTCAAAGGAGGGTGTTAGGAGGATGGTGCCAGGCTCTTTTTTGTGGTACTTAGTGGCAGGACGAGGAGCAACGGCCACAAAATAAAATGCAGGAAATTTCACCTCAACATGAGGAAGAACTTCACACTGAGGGTGGCAGAGCACTGAACAGGCTGCCCAGGGAGGTCATGGAGTCTCCCTCTCCGAGACATTCAAAATCCATCTGCATGCATTCCTGTGTCACCTGCTCTAGCTGACCCTGCTTGGCAGGAGGGGTGGACCAGATGATCTCCAAAAATCCCTTCCAAGCCTAACGATTCTGGGATTCTGTGTGAGTCCGTTTTTTAACAACCTTCTGTCGACGGGGCTGTGCGGGGGAGCTGCCCGCCAGCCCCGGAGCGCGGCACAGCCCAGCGCTGGGCACCC